TGCCACTTTGTTTGGCTCTTTTTGAGCTCTAATTCTTGGCCTGAATCCAGGGTTTTCCTTCAGGACCTGGAAGGATGCCTGGAGGCTCCTGAAAGTGTGGGAGCTTGTTTTCTGGAGCGGGTGAGATGATAGAAATGTTTATGTTGTGTAGCTTCTTTGGCTTTTGATTTCATTTGTGCATAATTTGTTGCCATATTTTCGAACAGATTACTCTTTCCTGTCTCTCCAGAAAGAGAGTTTCCAAATGTATGAATGCTACTGTCAGAATAAGCCACGGTCTGAGGCGCTGTGGAGACAATTCTCAGACTGTGCCTTCTTTCAGGTCAGCGATTTCACTTTCAGTCTGCAATTTTGTCTGATTCATTCACTGTTTTGTTGTCATGCAAGATAGCAATATTTCAAGTACTGTACATACTTGAATATTTGTGTGATACGAAAATGATAACTTGTTCTAAACAGAGTAATACCACCAAGATAGAACCATCTGTTTTACAGCTACTATTAAAAAGATGTGACCCGTTACTGACAAACATTACATTCATTGCGAGTTTTATATGTCTTCCTTGTGAAGGAGTGTCAAAAAAAGCTGGAGCACAAACTGGGCCTGGATTCCTACCTTCTGAAACCAGTCCAACGCCTCACCAAATACCAGCTGCTGCTTAAGGTTAGACAGAGAGGGGTGTCATATCACAAACATACACATACAGTCAATCACCTACATTATGTGACAGAGGCTATTTTATGCTATATTTTCCATGAGATTGCATTAAATGCAAAGACAATCCAGCAAGTCAGCAGAGAGTCAGATGGAAATCAGTAGCAGCAAATGGGCCCAGTCATCAAAAACATATTAAACCAAAACATAGCATTGAAAGTGTATTTATTATATATAATATTTCAGTTTATTCCTAATACTTAAGTAGTACTTCAGTACATGTGTTCGATAATTCTGGATAATGAAGCAGTTCATTCAGATTTCCCTCTTCACCTGACTAAACTAACTAGATTTCCTCTAGTTGTTTAAGTCTTTACCACTAGAGTGTGCTGTTTAAGCTACTGTATTTTTGTGTGTGCATGTATTTGCCTAAATGCCTATTCTTTTGTTTGTGTGTTCAGGAATTACTGAAATACAGTACAGATTGCGAGGGGATTTCTGAACTGCAAGGGGCACTAACAGCAATGCTGGACCTGCTTAAATCTGTAAATGACTCCATGCATCAAATAGCCATCACAGGATATGAGGTGACCCAAATCTGTTCTGCGTTTGATAAGAAATGAACACTAAATTCCTAAACTCTAATTAATTAGAGATACATGTGCTCACATACATTTCACAGAGAATTCATTTACAACAAAGGCTTAAGCATAAATTCTTCTTTCCATTATACACAGGGCGACATTTGCGAGCTGGGCCGTGTGTTGATGCAGGGTTCTTTCAGTGTGTGGATCAGCCATAAGAAAGGTCCCACGCGCATGAAGGAGCTGGCTCGCTTCAAGCCAATGCAGAGACACCTCTTCTTGTACGAGAGAGCTCTGCTCTTCTGCAAGCGGAGGGAGGAGCATGGAGACGGCTGCGACAAGACCCCCTCATACAGCTTCAAGCACTGTCTCAAGGTTGGTCTGTGTTGTTTGTGTGCATCATAGAGCAATACACTGGCTTGAGTTTTTAAAACATTGGTTGAAATATGTTATAAATACATTGAAATATGTTTAGCATACAGTACTGTACATTATGTTGAGTGGCAAGAGGTGTCTCAAGTTCACATCCTGTGGCAGCTCCAAAGCAAGTAATTTCTGGAGGAGGTTGGTAAAATTAATATGAAATATCATGGAGATTATTATCTACTGACTAGGTTGTCACATGGGAGTGGATTTTTACTCATGTCCCATCATACTCCTACAAAAATATTCGTGTCCCTTCCCAATCCTGGAAGAATTGCTCCTGTCCCATTCCGTTCTACATTAAAGAATTTAATAAAATTTATAATAAAACTACATATTTATGTCATTTAAAAAAAACAGACCAGTGATTCCCGACTACTTTCAGACTACTTTTGTGAACAACATCAACATAAACTCAGACTTGTTTTGCTGACATAACAGTATAGTTGGTGATGGGAAACTATTGCTGTGCCTGGGTGTAAAATGCATGCACTACTGTATGTAGTTTCTATGGCATACAGTATATAATCATTTGGCTAAATGTTCTAAAGTGCAATGGTGTGACATTGATAAATGTGTAAATCACAGTCATGCAACACTACACCTATCGAAATGATGATTTAAATGTCCAAAAACCTAATTTACTGTTCACTATGGAGTAAACTACTGTATTTATTATGTAGACAAAAATGAATGAGTATACAAAGTAAAAGAGAAAACACAACATACTTCCAAAAAAATTAGTTACTGAAACTCTGACTACTTAATATAACAAATGGTTTATATAATGGGCTAAAGTTCATCACATACTGTATACTAATTTCCCTGTCGCTGTACAATGATCTATATATACTTATACTTAGCACTAAGTAATGAAATGAATGATCTGCTGGAGACACATAGTTGATACTGGCTGTGTTGTTCTCTTTTAACACCTTTAATTGCCCAGGTGACCACAGAACCTGGTGTATTCCTGTAACACTACTTTTGTTGTATTTGTGTATGTGTTGATGTGTGGAGGGTGTCACGGCTGGTGTCTCACCAACAGCTGCTGCTGCTCTTGATTTATTATTAAGGATGTGGGGAGGAAGCAGGCACACAGCGGAGGTGTGTGAATGTTTGTGCTCTGACAGGACAGATGTGTTACATGATGTAAATCTGATGTATGATGTGCTGTTCCTCCTAATGCTCTGTGCGTGTGTGTCGGTGTAAACAGTGTATGTCTCTTGGCAGATGACTGCTGTGGGGATCACCGAGAATGTCAAAGGAGATGTGAAGAAGTTTGAGATATGGTACAGTGGCAGGGAGGAAGTGTATGTGGTTCAGGTAAGGAGTCTAAAAGTTTAATGCTAATATGATCAGTAGTTTAAATACAGTACATTGCTGTTAATTTAGCCCTTTGTTACTTTTACTGTAGCTTTAAACCCTTTCAGCTAGATGCAATGGTTAATCAATCGGCAGAAAATTGCCAAAAATTTGATATAAAGCAAAAATAGCAAAAAACTCTCACTTGTGAATCTTTGCTGGTTTTCTTAGTTGGTAGTCTTCTCTTATCATAAACTGAATATCTTTGGGCCTGTTTGTCAGACAAAACAAGACATTTTAAAATGTCACCATGGGCACTTTACTGACATTTAATAGACTAATAAAAAAGTCCTAATGGTAAAAATGGCAACACTGTAATCATATACAGAACATTGTAATCAACTGACTGTTGTTGTAATGTTTCTGTCATCTCTCAGGCTCCTACAGTGGAAGTGAAGATGGCCTGGCTCAATGAGCTTCGCAGAATCCTGACAAACCAACAGAAGCTGCTTAGAGGTCTGAGAACAACTAAAGATAATATGGGACTGAGAATCTAAGCGTGAAGGTCCGCTTACTGACTTCATAGCTTTGAACTGCTTCTCACGGCCCCAGCGAGCATGAGATGCGGTTGAAAGCGCTGAAATTTTAAGTGAGCTTTGTGCTTTGATTCTCTCTACACCATATACTGTTCAGTTGCAGTAGATAGATAGTCAGGAACAAAATTAGTTTTCACAGAATGACCTCACATTACTTCCTTTCTCTGCTCACAGATGAAGCATATCAACATGGCCAAATGGTTGGACACACGCAGCTTTCTCCCCCACTCTCTGAGAGGTCAGTGCCTATAGATGTTTACACATACAGTATGAACAGTGGTGTGTTAAGCGCATGACTGTAGGCTATAGTTGCACAAACGTAGACAAACGCATATGCAAAACACACACATGCAGCCACAGTTCTACTATCTGCATTTGCGGAGTTTTCATATCTGATCACAGCTTGAGTAAATGTGTTGATATCATTTCATGATGCCCTGGTAGAGGCTTTGTGTGTAGCGGTGTGTGAGAACGGACCCCACTGTGTCCACTGCTGTCTGGTTGCCTATCCCCATTCCTCCCATCCCCCACCTGCAGGGGCATGCGGCCGTCCAGAGGGGTTCCCAGGGGCTGTCTGCCGGGGCTGGACTTTGTCTCGCTGTCAGCTGATGTGTTTCTGTGCCTGCGTTCCCGGAGCCCCTGTCCCCGAAGCCCCCGGCAACGGCCCCGGCCACGCCCCCACCACCGCCCACAGCGCCACTGACCTGCCCTAACGCTCAGTGGTAAACTCAGCCTGGCATGACCCACCTGGCCCAGCTTGGGGACCAAAAACCCAGGGCTGCTGTGTTTGCATACTGATCGTCACCTGCACACCCTTTTTATAGCCTCCATTCTGGATCATAACTGACGCCCCCCCACACTCCCTTTGAGGCGTTCAGAGGTCTACGTCTTAGCAGCTCCTCCATGGCATTTCTAACATGGTATCTAAAACAATTGCTCTTATTTCCGCATCTCAGACTTGCTATTTTGCATGTAATGCAAAGGGCAAACAAAAAGAAGAGTTTTGATTTTCATCCCATGAACTTTCTTAATTTCCTCATGACAGCTGGTTTTTAAGATGGGGCTCGTTTTTTTGAGATCTAATCAAGGTACTGTAGAATTTGCTTCCAGAAACATTCCTACTCAGCATTAAATAATGGAGTGACCCAATCTCAAAATTTTGGATCTTGATAAATCGAGACCAGATCTTCCTTGGTGTGAACACCGTGTCAGTGTTCTGTGAGTCCCACTTTGCACTTTTACAGAGAAGCTTGCACATGGCTGCTCTGTGTTTTGTCTTGCTGACTGGCTGGTGCCTGAATGGCCATGGCTGTGCGAGAAACAACAGGACAGAGTTGTTCCTTGACACTGATCTGGGGTCAGCTATACTGTTGGAGGTATGGATCAGATTCAGGAAGTGAGAGCTGACATCGAGATTGTGTGGCTGAGGACAACATCTATCCTGAGTGTGTCTGCTGACACTGCTGTTTGGTGATGTGTTTTTTTGTGTTGTTCCCCCAGCAAGCAGCAGAGGGCATCGGTGAGCTCAGAGGACACTGAGTCAGGGAGAAGCAGTCCAGACCCCCAGCCACACTCCCCTAAACACCAGCACAACCGCAGGAGTGAGTAAATCTTGTCCACACACAATTACGACATAATCAAGTAGATACTTAGTAACTAAAACACAGAAAGCGTTATGGGAATTGATGCAAATCATACTTGCTTTGCACAGTATTGTGTTACTGTTGCTGATCTCTAACTGATGTAGATATTTGACTTTTGCCCCCTCAGCAGTTCAGGTGTACTTTGACATGAAGAATGGAGGAATTTGGGGGAAAAAGGTCCAACTACTGAGATTAGCTTTTGATTCTACGTTCTTGTTAATTTCCCAGTAAGTGACAAGGGGTCTTTATAATGTCAATATAGTTACTAAGTATCTACATGGTGCCTTTAAGGTGTAGTGTTTGGATAAATGCATTCATCAATACCTAGCCTAAGCAATGTGTGTGTCCCAGGTTGGCCCGGAGCTCATCACTCGGTAGACATCTGCGAGGGTCTGGAGGAGTGGCCTGGAGGTCGGGATGCCTTCCACCCATCTGATACAGAGGAAGAGGTTTTGGTGCAGCTGGTGAGATTCAATACAGTCACATTAGATACAAAACAATACATCAAATGATAAACAACCAGACCCCCTCTGCTTTTTCAGACCTTTGTGTATTGTATTTAGTTCTTAACTGAGTAATGATTAAAAAGAGGTCCAAATTAGTGACCATGAAGGAGCTCAAATTAACTATAACTGACTAATGTTAACTGTATACAAATTTAGGGTTAGGTCACCTTTGACTCCTGTCTCAATTTTTCCATATATGTTAGAAAGTTTTCCAATTAAGAAATATTTCTAACTTTCTTTTTCACTGGGGCTATGGACAATGATAAACAACATAGTAGGTTTTAGCCTAAAAGCTATTTTTCTACTTTTGTCCCTTAGCTTGATGCTAAATTAGCCATTAAAACAAAGATTAACATTTGTAACTGGTAAAAGCAGGCAAAAACATCAGATATGTTCTCTTCATTATGTGCTAATAAATGAGTCCATGCTTTTGTGTCTTCACACCTAGATTACTGCAATTCTTTACTCTTGCATCACTTCAGATGGTTAAAAGGCTTTAGCTGGTCTTCCAACAAAATTGAAAGCAGGGTGTACATATATTCAGTGTTGGCCTTTCCTCATTGGCTACCTAACACTCTACATGCCCCCTAACTACTGTATATTTCTTAGTTGTTATGTCTACATAATACTTTAAAGTTTCTTAGGTCAGCAAAACATTGTCTAGTGGATGTTCCCAGAGTCAAGTTTAAATGAAGAAACAGCATGCATTTTCTGTCTTTGCATCTAAACCTTGGAATAGCTCTTACTACCAGGTCATCCAATTCAACTGAAACACTTCCCCTCCCTTATATGAACTGATTTGTTTGACCTTTATGTTATTTGTGTTTTAATTCAATTTAGTGGTTCTTGGGCCTGTTACTGTTCTGTCCTGTTTGACATTTTGTGCTTGACCAGTCTCCAGGCAGATACATGGCTTTGGCTGACTGTCTTCAAAATGGACCAGACAGCATCACCATCAAATGTGGAGACATGATGCAACTGCAGTGTGAAGACAACAAGGGACGCTGGTGAGTTTTCAGCCTGTCAAAACACAAGATGTGAGGGTGGCTTAGTGATTAGCTGATCTATATGTTTAACGGTACAATGTATAGCAAAAGAAGCTATGGTTTCTTAAGTAAAACACTGAAACCCTGGTTAGGTAAATGTAAAAGCTAATGTATAGCTAAAGTTTATCTATCTAATCCCCCTTTTCTCCTTCTGTCATCTCCACCCTTTCCTGACTTTTCTTCATCCTTTAGGCTGGTGAAAAATCTGAGTCGGCGACAGGAGGGATACATAGCAGCTGCCAGCCTGCAGCTGATTATAGGAGACAGCGGTCGAGGAAACTCCTCCAGAATAGGGGGTAAAGAAAAAGACATGGGCTTCCAAGACAGAAATATTATGTTGAGCCACAGTATTTCTTTACTATGAATTTGTTTTTAAAAGTCTTTATATTTTCTTTTAGACCCAGGGAACCTGAAGGTGAGGAAGCTCAGCTCCCCATAGAGAAGAAAGCACAGAATGTGAATCTAATATTTACCCGTGGATAGTGAATAGACACAAGGAACAGAATGAGCCATAGCTGTCTCATAACCGGTCAGCCACATATTCCTCACTCCCCGGCCTGCTTTTTTCAGCACAATTCAATTCAAGAGAAAAATGTGGGAATCTGCAGACCTGATTTTCTTCTAGGTTTTGATTGACAATCTGGGTCCTGGGTCGATGTTTTTTGATAGTGAAGGGTGTGCTGATGCACCAGCGCAAGGGCCAAGGAACTGTTTAGCCCTCTTAGACAATCAACAGCTAATCCCCGGATCTTGATTGGTCTTCCTCTTTTCTGATTGGTGATGAGCATCTTGTCCTTCTGGCGTTCCATCTGCAACACACATATAGTCAGGATGTGAAGTTGCTGCTGCAGCAGTGAGCAATTTCACAATCTGTGGACATTTTTTCAACCCTTTCTCATTCCAGCTACTACTTGAGATCATAGCATCTCCGAGTGTGTGTGTTCCTGTTTGTCTCAGTGTGTGCTGGATGGATGGTAATCCAGGATTTGCCCGAAAGATTTATTAAAGCAGAGACTTTTGTACATATACGGTATCATTTTTAACATTTATTGTACCTCAGTGTTTCATCTTTGTGTAGTTAGTTGGCATTTTCCATTGAACTACTTCATTGGATTTTTCTTAAATTTTGTTCCTTGAGGCCCCATTCTTCTCTACAAGTCTGGGAGTTAAAATGCCAAAATGTGCCATGCCATAATGCCTTTTTTATTCCTGCTCTTTTAGAGTCTCTTGTATGTACTGTTTGCAAAATCAAATACTCTATTATTGCTTCAACCTGACCTCACAGTTATTCACCATGCACTTCAATAAGGTGGATGGACAAAAAATTGTCTACTGAATGTGTACATTGCTTGCTGCATTGCCTCTCTTACTGTATATTTCCCCATATTCATGCTGTTTCCTTTGTTTATTCTTGAATGTATGATGTGTGAGGGAGGCAGGGGAGACACACCCTCTGCCATGCAGGTAGCAGTTGACGTGTCACTGATGATAATGTAAGACACAGGCGGACATGATGAAGATTGATGCCGATGTATTCCTTGGTATGTGGCGTAGACGAATGGTAGTCGTGTGGCACAGAGCACCAAACACTTTTGTGAGCCGACTGTCAGTCACAGCGTAGGGAAGGGAGAGCGAGTATAAGAAACGGAGAGAGAGATATTATAATGCTCTGTGTGCCACTCCATCACGGAGGCAGATTGTTTCCTCCTCACCATTACAGCTCAGTTAATCTCGGGTTCCCCATTTAAAGGGATCATACAGCCAACATGAAATATACCCTCTGTGTCGAACACTTAATTAAACATTGATTGCAGAATTATATGAAATTTACCACATCAAATCGAGGCCCCAGTCGGAGAGCTGCCTTTGATACACTGTGTTTGATATGGAAATTAGTCTAGAAAGCAGCAGGGGCCGCTGCACAATACACATTTCCTATGTTGTTAATTTATTTATTTTGATCTCATGTTATTTCTTCACATTGTAAGGTATCTGCGCAGCCCCGAAAGAAATTACATCTCTATGTATTTACAGAAGCTATGTTTGACTGCAAATCAAAACCTCAATTTATTTCTTTGGAGCTTATATGACAAAATCAGATGTTTTATTTGTCATTTTAATCCAAAATGCTGCAGATTTTGCACAGATTTTCCAGTTTGGAAAACAAAAAAAACCTGCTTGAAATATTGCATATCCTGATGAGCCAAGTAGCCTAAGCTTGTTGCTGAATGTTTCTTTAAGAGGAAAATGCATGGCAACTGAATAATAAGCAGGTTTGTATTGTGTTAGATAGTCACTGTTCTAAGCTGGCTTCTTCTTGTACAGCTACAGTTCTGTAAAACAAACAAAAAAATGTTTTTATTGCAATGATTGTTTTGCGGTAGTTAAAATAATTCTGTACTTGTTTTAACAAGGTGATATGTTTGGCTGAAAACTAATGCTGCTATTTTTCATACACCATGATTTAATCTATTATTTCTATTTTCTTGTTTTAATGGAAGCCAACTTATATAATAAAATTGGGCACCCTTTCTTGTGAGTTTTTTTGAACATTTAATTTGAAGCCTGGAAGAACCACACCAACACTACTATGTGAAGTGTTTTGATATTTTTTTTAATACAGTATAGAAAGTCCTACTAAATCACAAGCATCTTTGAGACTTTTTAAACATTTGTGCCCTTTATGTTTTTTTCCCACATATTTGTCTGTTACATAGTGAATCGCTTTCTTAACCACACATACTTTCAGTATAATGGCATCCAGAAGCAGTAGCTTATAGGCCACTGACAGGTTATTGGATGTTGCAGAATTTAAACGTATGTGTTTTACCATCAGATGGATAGCTTGCATGTCAAATTCCTTTAACACACAATTCAAAGCATTTTAAAAGATTTTTAAATATACTGAAGGGACTTTATTTGAAATGCAACACATTTGTAGACCATTTTTAAATCCACAATCTTAAAATTTAAGGGTCAGGGTCCACATCAAATGCCATCTTGTGTTTGGTTAATCCCATCATCTGGTTTATCCAGCGGTAATAAAGGGACACCCGCGTGTACACACCATATTTCCCTTCTTTCGCACAGTCTTCCCCCCAGCTCACAATGCCTGTCAGGAACCATGTGTCATGAATACTGTTTGCGTGAGGACCTCCACTGTCCCCCTGACAGGCATCTTTGGCCTCATTATAGTATCCTGCACAAAACATGACAGGAGTGATCCTGGCACTGCTGGTGTGCTTACACTGTGTCCGATCTGTGAAGGGAACTGTGACTTTCTGTAAAGTTTTAGCTGTTGATCCAAGGAAGCGTGTTCGGCCCCAGCCGCTGACCGTAGCCGGGGAAGACTCCTTCATTAGGGCCTCAGTGAAAGCCTGGGGCCCTATGCAGATGGGTCGGACTATTTTGGAGAATGTGAGAGGGCTTTTGAGGTACAGCAGGGCAATGTCATTGTTGTACAAGCTTACACTGGCATTGTAGCGTGGGTGTATGTGGCGCTTCAAAACCTCACGATCCTGCTCTGTACCCTCGTTGATGTAGATGTTATGCTCCCCTGCAGGTAGAGATATTAGATACAGAAATCGCTTATTCCCTGTATAGATTTACTCTACAATATATCACATGCAGTGGATGTCCCAAAGCAGAAAATCTTCCTTTGTAAGTGTAAAAAATTACATGAAATCAATAACTATTTCAAGGACTACAATACACACAACTTCACAGTGGGACTGCAATAACTATATTTGTTATAGATTAATCTGCAGATTGTTTTCTTGATTGTTGAAACTTGTCGGTGGCAATGACTCTTACCCGCTCGGATGAAGAAGGAGCCTTGTGCTTCCACCAAGCAATGAGCAGCAGTGATAACCCAGCGTTCGCTGAGAATGGAGCCACCACAGAACAAGTGACCACTGGGATGCTGTATCAAGGCTACCTGAATAAAAGAGGGAGAAATGAGCTGTGAGTAGCTCCAAAAACAATTAACATACTGCTGCTGTTGTTTCTTGTCCCTCATGCATTTCCTGCGACAAAGCCTTTACATCCATTAAATACTTTTACTTCCATACAATACCTGCCATGGGATCTCTCCTGGAATGACCACCACACCACCCACAATGCGTTTAAAAGGCCTAGGTGGCTCCTCACTGGGGATCTCAGTGTCATTGTACACCCACAGGGGCAATTTCTTTTGGGTTTGGTTTACTACAGATTTGTTGTCGTAGTCGTAGTCGTAGTCATAGTCATAGTCTGGAAAAGAGCCCGTGGTACTCGCTGGAGGTGAGGGGGAGGATGTAGTGGTGTTCAGTGAGGTGGAGTTCTGCAGACGGCCGAGCAGAGAACTTCTGGACACCTTGCTTACCACTGTCAGGGCGGTTCTGCCACATGGGAATTCATCTGTTGATGTGAGAAAAGAGGAGTCACTGTGGAATTAAGAGTCATTATCATGATATTTAGCAGAGAATTCATTAAGAATACGTTTATACCTTCTGGTTCACAGCTAAGCCCGTCCTGCATCAGTGTGTATCCAATTGCACAGGAGCATTGTGCTCCAAAAGTTTCCATTGAATCACAGAAGTGCATACAGTCTCCATTGTTCACATCACACCTTTTTGCTATAACTGGTGAGAAAAGGAAATCACATTCTTAATTCAAACCCACCCCTTATTACATTCAGTGACATGTCGTTATAACAAAGTATTAACTCCTGCATGTTTTAAAGTGTCATGTATGGTTAAAGTCTGTCTTAAAACAATATTCTGGTGCCCATATGAGCATTGCAAAAGGTTTTACTTGCTGAAATCACTCCTCCTGTTCATACTGGATATTAAAATATGGAAGGGATTCCTTATCATTAGGTATTTTATTTTATTTTTATTTTAAATTATTTTTAAGTCTTTTTAGTATGAAATGTCCCTTTTATGCTTTATAATACTGTAACCCTGGTAGATATCTACTTGATTTGATTAATTCAGAAGACTCAAATTCACTTCAGAATGTATTTTTGCACAGAATGAGGGATGAGGATTTGTCCCCCATCACTTACAACACATTATGAATAGATCTCTTAATGGCTGGTATGGACAGGAAAGGGGAGGGGAATGGAGTGGAGCAAAACTTCAAATGGGCACATAGTAATGTTTAAAGACAGACTTGAACCTATTCTTTAAAGGGTACCTACTACACTGTCAAACAAACGCGTGTGATTCAGGTAAATGCAGACACAGAGAGAGCACTGGCTGCTGTTTTTAGAAAATCCAAAAAGACAGCTATTTTCAGACCTTAAACCAGACTGAGTCTGGATGTGAGCCACTGATTTGATTTACAAAGTAGAAGGGTAAAAAGGGCATCTGGCTGTTTATCCTTTGAGACTGAGATCTGATCAGATCTGATCTCATGTTCCCAGACAATTTGGATCATGTAGCATAAAAATCGAATTTCGTTTGATTACATTTTTTTAATCGAGCCACAGGTCTTTCACTTACCGATCTCACAGTTCCTGCCGGTGAAGCCAGACAGACATGAGCAGGTGTAGTAGCCAATGTGGTCTTTGCATGACCCCTTGTTCAGACAAGGGTTTGGCTTACACTGATTGCCATCTGAAGAAATCCAGACACAGTAGCTCAGCACACATTTGTATTGTACTTTTATAAAGCAATGTTTACTCAAGGAAAAAAGCTGAAAAAAGTCTGAAAAAATCTTCACATAAAAGCATGTCCAAAGAATAACTTTTGCA